GGGGTTACAGGTGCACACCACTATGCCTGGCTACTTTTTGTATTTTCAGTAGAGACAGGATTTCACCATGTTGCCCAGGCTGGTCTCAGACTCCTGACCTCAAGTGATCCACCTGCCTTGGTCTCCCGAAGTGCTGGGATTACAGATGTGAGCCACTGCTCCTAGCCAATACTAGGTATTTTGATGTGGCTTATTTTACATAAAAGGCAAAATATTCTACTTCTAGGTGAAAATAAGAACATGTATATTCACAATAGACTATTCATATACTGAAAATAGATACAAGTTGAACTTTAGAATTAATACTTTTCTATATTCCATAGCTTTTTTCAGATTCTCTGAAGGGTCAATGACCCAAAAGATATTGTCACTACTTCAGATTTATGTTTCCACTTAGAACTTCTTCCAACAACTCTCAGCATTCTTCATCTACCAAATCTATCCACTTTCCCAATTTTGAATATGTTCATCAGGTTTTACTGTATTTACCGATATTACCCCATTAATTCTGTTGGAATATATTTGAACATTCCTCTCTTAGTCAGTGTTTATGACAGCAAAGTGAGGTATCATGCTTCATGCCTTGTGCATCAGGAGACATGAATATTCATGTTACCTTAATTTATGTTTCCTTTTCTTCATATTACTTCATAGTTTCATAATTAACACATGCATTTACATAATATATTTAAACTCTAGTTGAAACAAAATTAGTCATGGCCTTGATAAATTATTAATGAATGAGGCCTTATTTTAACTTTAGGGTATTAGAAAAATTCTTCTCACACATATGGGACAGTTTTATTTAAAGTTAAAACCCATGATTATTACCAATCATTTATATGATGTTATGTTACTTCTGTGGAAAAAATTTCTAAATTTCATTTTAAAAAATTGTTTTTATCCCTTCATTTTTATCTTGACATATATTTTGTTTCTTGATGAAATGTGACACATTTTAATAAAAAGCAAATATTATACCATTTTTGTATTTTATTTAGTTGTTACAAATATTAATTTAGTTACTATGAAGTTATTTTTCTCCCTGTCATGTCTTAACTATTGTGCCTAACTTGAAACCATTTAGAGAGAGAGAAAATGTGTGTAGGTTTATAAAATCCAAGTCTGGGCTATCAGCTATTGAGAAATCCCAATCGTTTGTCCTTGTCTGACTTCATGCTGCTCTTCAAGATTAATCCGATTATAATGTTTGGCTTCCCATATAATTTTCTGTGGAGAAAAATAATCAAGTGACGCAAAATGTCAAGGTCACATGACAGATACTTGTTATTGTGAATCCGTAGCTCAGCATTCTCGTTTGGAATGTCTACCATGTTTAAGGCATTTGAGAGTCCACAGTGACCAAGTGGAAATAACCTCTCATTAATGGAACTTATACTGTCTTGAGGAGGTATCTCCAAGTACGCAAAGAGTCAAAATCATACAGAAAGCAGTAAGTGCTATGATGAAAATCAAATACAATAATGAAATGGTGTAAAGAAGAAGGGAGACAATTTTATATGACATAATTGGGGAAGGCCCCCGAGGAGGCAGTTATTTGAAGAGAGACATAAATCATAAGACCTAACGATGCAAAGGTATAGAAAGAAAATTCTCAACGGTGTAAAACCTTCAAAATGGGAACACACTTGTTTTGTTCAAGAGGAACACCAGTATAGCTGGAGTTCTGGAAAACAGAGTGTCCTGTGCTAAGATAAAATCCCCCGTGCATTTGATGATTTGTGTGTCGGCCTCCTGTGTCTGATGCATCTAGTATATGTTGGCATTGAATTTCTAGACTAGCAATGCTGAGAACCAGACCTGTTGTAGGAACCTCTACAATGGACTCCATTAATCCCTGTCTCCTGGTATTTATAGTCTTAACACTGTTTTCTTCCATACTTTGGAAGAAATAGTCCAGATTTGGTCTCTGTGATCAATAGCATATGGTAGACATCATAGTATATCACTTCTGAGATTAGATAAAGACCAAGGCTTCTGTCTTAGATGTACACTCTTTCTCTCAAACCACTTGCTCAGAAGGAAGCAAGCAGCCACACTGAGAGTAGCCCTATAGAGAAGCACACATGAGCTTCTATAGGAAAAGGATGGAAAGCTTCCAGCCTATCATCAGTGAGAAACCCATTTGCCAACCACCACTTGAGTGAGATTTGAGGCAAACCCTGGCCCATTCAAGCCTCATGAGACACCCTGAGACAGCATCACTGAGAATCCAGCCTCTCTTTGATTCCTGACCCTGAGATGCTCTTACACAAACAAATGAAGGAAGGAATAAATAAGCAAACAAATAAGGAAACAAAGGCTTGGTTTTCCCTTGACATCTAACATTCATTTGAATTCTCTTTACCATCTCCACATTTTCTGACTATCCCTCAAAAAACACAATGAAGAAGATAATTCTTCTATAAGGAAAAACTGTATCATAGAATCTAAAAATTTTTCCTTTTGGCATTCTAGTTATTTTCAGATGTTTACTATCTTCTATTATTACAAATAATCAAGACTTGACTGTTTCAATGAGTTTTAGGCAAATGCATTTCCGAAGGACTTAATTTTATTACTCCTCCTTGATGTATGTAGAGTAATGATAATGATTACAAGGAAATTTATAATACTATTTTTTTAACAGAAAAAAATTATCCTAGAATTTGCATACATCTAAGTGTATCTATCAGTTTGCTTAAAGGATGTACATCTTAATGCATGTTATATTATAATTCTTACACACATTCACATTTTGCACAGATCGCTAAGCATATAGACTTAAAAGATGAAAAGAAGAGAAAATAACTAAAAATCCAACATCTTGTTTGTTTCCCTAAGTAAATCATGAGTTATCTCTTCTCAGGATAGTTATTGTTAAACTAAAATTGTTTTTCCTAAAACTATGTTTTTATCTTTATTTTTATTGGGAGTGCAAAATAAAGGATACTATACTGCTCTCACGTGGCTTTAAGTTACAGGTATAGACTGGTGATCAAAAGGTATAATACATAGTGAAAACAAAGTTTATTTTTATTCGAAGAAGAATTTCTTTCTGCGATTCTCATTCTATAGACCCAAAACTAAAGTTATCTATATTTTATGCCTGAATTTTGTTCTTTAGATTTTGGTCTGTGGGTTATAAAATGAACACACTAGATTGCAAGTAACTTTGAAAAGGTTTCTTAAAATGTAACAGCTATATAAGTTATATGTATATGAGTCTATCAAAGAGACCCAACACCAGTTCTAATATATCTTTACAACATTTTTCTATGTCCAAATTCATTTATGCATATTATTCTACTTATTTTAATTCTGTTTAATACTGAACCAAAATCTGAAAGCCTGCACAATACCCCAGCACCAATTATTGTTGTTATTATTGTTCCTCATTACTCTGATTTATTCACACAGCTACCTCATATAAAGTCCGTATTATCAATCTATATCAGGTTTTAATTTATATTTAAGATTCGTATTTAAAGATATATATTTAAAAACCTAACAACCTATGTCAGGTTTATTTTCTACTTCAAAGGAAAGCCATTATTTGAGAACAGAGGGAAAAGGATTCTCCTCTGCATACTCAATATTTTCTCCTTGACCTAAATGTATATATTTAGGTGAAGGGGACACCTGCTTTTCTATCTTGGTTTAGCTTCCAGTTAGCCATGTTTCGCACTTACTTTAAATGTGGCAGACAAAAGCATGAGGGATGGACTCCGTGGCACTAGCTGCATTTGCAGGAAATTTCCACTTGAACAATTAACACCCTCAACCATATTTCCACCTGTTTATGCCCCCAACCTGGGAGGGGTCCCCTGGGTTAGGCCCATACCCAGTGCTTTAGCTTAGAGAAAGGCATAATTCAGAAGTGCTGGGTGGTGAAATATGCAGACATTTCCTCATTACTATGCTCTCTCCTTGTCTTCTCTTATGGAGGATTAAGTAGGTATTTTATCTTTATGTATATATTCAAATTAAATCCATATCACTATTGAAAGTTATTTTCATAATTGTGTTATTATATTACAATGACAATTTTAATACACAATATCATACATAAAATGTACTTGAAGGTATGTTGTTGAAATATTAGTCAATCCAGTTTGCTTTGGAAAAGGATTTAATAAGTTAAAAATAAGGTTACATTTTGGTTCAGCAGATGTATCTAAGTCCTACTGAAATGTTTAAAAAATTAGTCACTGTACTCAATAGTTTTCTATAATACTGCAGAAGGGTGATAATAGCAACATAGTACTTTAAATATTTTCATCTTAATATATACAAGTGTAATGATTTAATTGAGTAAAAAACCCATTTTGATTTTCAAAAATAACTCTGTAAAACACAAAATTCTATTGTTACACATGAATAAGGCAAAGCTGGGTGAAACAAAGCATTTTATTATGGTAAACATTGCATAAAATTTTAAGGATTAGTTTTTACTTTAAAATACCCTATATTTTTATATACGCCAAATTTTAAATAGACTAGTAAAAATGAACAATTTGAAAGAATATATAACTTTTAGCTAAACCACTTTGTGATCTCTTGAAACATTTTAATCTTTTTTCCTAAAACTTTGTGGCATATTCTTGATTTAAAAACTGAAAGGTATACTACAATCCATAAATTAACTTGAAGAATTAAGCATCCTATTAAGTTGAATCTTGTGACACTATTGTTTTTAGCTATAAGAATGACAATTTCATATGTTTTAGTGCAATAATTTTCTGGCATGTATCTTCAGCCATGCGAAGAAACTTAAGTGAACTCTTTCCACCTTTACCTGTAATTACAGTTTTATAAAACAGAATACATTCTCATGTAATATGAATCTTTTACAGTATACCATACTTTTTGGCCATTAGGAAAAATGTGTAGATAAATTAACTCAAAGTACCAAAACACAAACAAAATAAAAGTAGTTATTTTTCTTACTAGTGAAAAAATATCACAGTTCAAAATTCAGAAAATACACAGTCACTTACTTTGGTAGAGTTTTCAAGTGATTTTCTCTTAACTCCAAGATCCGCAATTTGACAAGTCTACAGAAATGAATTTTTAAAATTTCCTCTTAGTATTTCTGTCTAAAAAATTATTGAGTAAGGTCTAGTATTTGGTAGTACTATAGGGTTACTATAGTTAACAATAATGTATATTTAAAAATAACTAAAAAACTAGAATTGGAATATTTCTAACACAAAGAAATGATAAAAGCTTGAAGTGATGGATACCCCAATTACCCTGATTTGATCATTACACATTGTATGTCTGTACTAAAATATCACACATACCTCATAAATATATACAACTATATGCACCCATAATAATTAAAAATTAAAATAAAAATAAATTTTACTGCGGTAAACTATCATTATCACTATTGAAAGAGCCATGTTCAAATATTCTTTTAACTATGGTTATAGATTTTAAAGAAATTTACATATTGATTATGAGTAGGGTTACATCAGTATTGGGCAATGACAAATATCATTTTCCTAAAATTAACTGAGATATTTCAAAGGTATCTTTGGATTCCAGCCTTCTAAATTTCATATGTTTTATAAAAATATATTTGTTGTTCAATATTTTCATTGATATTTGAATGTATACTAAATATCAGATGCTGTGTTCACTGGAATATGGCAATAATTTCTCTCAAGAGACTATAAATAAACTAAAAAGCAAATACTATAGCATAGAGTTAAAAAAATGGGATTTTATAGGAAGACAAACCTGGGTGAAATCCAAACTCTTTCATATTCTGCCTCTCTGACACCGGGCAAATTAATTAACCTCTCTTAATTCAATTTCCTCATCCATAAGTGTGTGACAGCAGTATCAAATTTGTATGGTTTGGAACATTAAATAATGTAATACATGTAAAGCATAATTTCTTGTATATCACAAGTTTTAATAAGAATTGGCTATTATTATTTTCATTATTTACACAATGGGAGAAGTGTTGCAATATACCATATTTCATTGACTCTAAGGTGCATATTTTAACATTTATGAAAAGTTCATGCATTTAAAAATCTGTCGCATCATATGTCCCGTGACAATGCTGGGGTTGGGGAAATCACATGAGAAGAATGAGAAGTATTCATAGTTTCTGTTGCTTGAGTAACATTTGTGATTAGGAATGCATTTCACACTTAATTACTTGTTAAGTTTTGTAGTCTAGGACACACTATTGTTATTCACGTCCATACTGAATGTTAAAATGTACCCAGATGAAGCTACTTTAGAACAGATATTAACTGGATTATCTGAATTCTTAATGTTTTGGGAAATATTTTACTATTCGAAGTTTTTCATCTACCATCTCCCATATTTACTGTACTTTTAGGTTTTCATGTAGGTCTCTCTCCCTTTCTTTTTTTTTGCCTCCTATCAAGCTTTTTTATTTAATTTTAATCTTATAATGATTAATCTGTATATGAAATAAAGTGATTCAGTTCTTCACAGCATGGGTATATTCTAGTAAAGGAGATTTCTTAAGTATTTGCATGTCTCAAATCTTGTCAACAATTGTACTAGTATGATATTTTGTACTGATTTTGGCTTTTAGGAGCACAGAATCTCAGGTGTTAAAAGGAATTTTAAGTGTCCTCTTGTTAAACTACACAGTTGAAGGTTAGAGACCTTTTTAGATGATAATAATAAAATAGAGCATATTTTTTTGTAGGCAATTTATGCAAAATTATATTCTATTTTCAAGTGGTTTTGGTGTTGGTATTATGTTTTTCACTTGCCCAAATCTTTTCCTCACATTACGACTAAAGAGAACTGACAAAAGTTCAAGAAAAAAATGTATCTTAAGATAATAATTAAATATTTTCTGATTTGATAAATCCAAAGTATATTGTAATGCTGTGGTCAGTGCCAGAAAGGCAAGACTAGTTTCTATGGATGAATGATGAAATGCCAATTCATTTAGAAGCCAGGCAATGCTCTTTGGACGCTCTGTGAAGTTTAAAACTGCCCAAGTATATGCTGTTCATAAGTGTTGTGATGGTGTGATGTGCAAAAGTAAGGGAATCTGGGAAATGTTGACGTGCTCTCAGTATGTAAATGGAGGCTGTCACATGTTAAGTGACTTCATTATTCAACTGAGTTCTTAATGTCCTGTGCCAGCTTCGGTCAACAGATTGGTGTCAAGCTACACTTAGTCTATTATTTGAACAATTTCAAAGATATTCATTTACATAAATGTAGTTGACAATAAACTTAAAAATGTCCTAGCTGTTGAGATATATCTTTTGCACAAAAAAGCTCATTGTAGAACACCTGAAAAATATTGAAAAACATGTCAAGATGACAATAAAAATTATTCGTAATTTTACTTTTAAGATACCAGTCTTTCATTTCATATAGATTCATATTAATATTGGAAACATCTTAAGAATTAAAAAAAAATACTTTCCTAAGATAATTTTATTAATTATTATACAGTATTATCATATAGATGAACCATAATATATTTAACCAATATCCTAGACAGATATGTGATTTCACTTTTTTCACTTTGTAAATAACAATAAACTTGTCCATAAATCCCAGTGGGATACTGACAATGGTAATAGACATTTCTAGAAATGATTCACAGAGGCAACAGTTTGTAAATATTTTCAAAGGTTTTAAAAGCATACTGCCCTGCCTGAAGGTCATAACATTCTACAATCCTATCAGAGAGCATGAGATCATCTCTGTTCTTATACTCTAAAAAAAAGTTTTTGCAATACGTTGGAACATAAAGGTCTTTTATTGTTTTAATTTGTATTATATTTATTATTTGTGAAGACAGACATGTTTTATGTGTTCCCCAGCTATTCATATGTGTTATTATGAATTGCTTTTTTCTTGTAATTCGACCATTTTCCCCTAAAATCTTTGTTTGCATATTTATATGTAAGAATTCTAGGTTAAATATATAAATAATTTTTTTCATATATAATGAAACTATTTTTCAGTTTATTGTTTTACCTTAAATCTTTGATTTTCTGATACTTTATGATAAAAGTATTTAGGTCAGCATATCTATCCATTTATGGTATTCTTCTTTGCGTCTGTGCCTGTAAAGGTATTTCTCAACAAAATAGCCATAAATATTCATCTCCTTTTTTCCCCTCAGATCATTTCTGGCTTTATTTTTTTATATTCAACTCTTTAATTCATCTAGAATTTATTTGACTATTAATGTCATGTAAAGGCCTAATTTTACTTTATTTTTTGCAAAAGTTTCATTAATTAACAGAGTTTCATTTATTGAATAATAATGAGGCCTATCTTTAATCACAGCTGGCACTTTTGAAGTCTCATCAACTGACACTAGTAAAGCACTTACCTAAGGTGAAATATAATTGCATAATTTAAATTTCTTATTCTTACCTTCCAAAATTGGCTGGAAGAAATTCAAGAAAGGCGTCATTCAGGTAGAGCTGGGTCAGGTTTAGGAGCTGTGTGAAGCCATCAGGGAGTCTAAAAAGGAGTTAAAGTTTTAGTCATTGCATTGATATTGCTATAGAAACAGAACAAAAATATGTATCTCTGAGGAGTAAAAATATAAATGTAATACATTTTTCAACTCTCCTTTGGTATTACAGTAATGAAAGAATTTATTGAGCATGTTGTTACAGTTTGAAAATTTTGCCTGTTATTAAAGTAAATAGCATTTATCCACTTCCATGCTACTCTCCTACACTAAGACTTATGTCACTGCTAAAATTAGCAACATCATCTCTTATTGCTGGCCTAATCTTATGCACACCAGCCAGGACATTTTTTATGGAAATCTCAGATTGTTTGGCTTGTTTGTAATTTTAAAACTAATGTTCCTTTTTCAACAGAATATGCACATATATAGTCAGGCAAGAGTATCCAGTTACTATTTCACTTAATCATCAAAATTTGTTTACAATTTGTTACAGTGATGACTAAAGTTGCCCAGTATGAAAAGTGAAGGAGCATGTTGTCCCCTTGACTAATGATTTCTTTAATGCCTGCTCAATATGTATGTAAATCATGATTCAAATTGGTCTAATTAATATCTATTAAAAATGACAAAGAACATTGAAAAGATAATTAGACAATCATAAAGGCTATAAACTGCATCAAAAAATTAAGAAAATAACCTTTATGAGTTTTAGAAATTAGATTAAATTATTATTTTAAATGTAAAAAGATTTAGTTCAAGGATTTCTCAGGAGACTTGTTTTTAGAGGAATATTGACTTTTTTATTAGTAAATTTCTATTTAAACATTTGTAATACTTTTATGTATAGCCTAGTCCAGATTTTGTTATTTTATAAAATACTCTTAAATAGCCTTCAAATTTGCCTTCTCTTCAAATTACAGCCTGTCTTCCTCCTTGCATTTACTGCTAAAATTATTTTAAAAACTGCCTATACTCATTGCTTCTTATTACTACTCAAGCCATTGTTTTCTGGCATCTACCTCAACTCTGTTACTGAAATGCACTCACCAAGGCCTCCACTGACATCCTAAGTTCCAATCCCATTAGCCTCATTTTATTTCGGATCCTACACTGCCTAGCAACAGTTGCCATTACTGCTTGTTCTCCCCTTCTTTGCTTCTACAACAGTTTTCCTGTTGCTTCTCCTTCTCCTGGGACATTATATGAGTTTTATTCATGGTTTCTCTTCCTATGTCCAATACTTTGTTATATGTATATATAAAACACTTACATATATATATGCACACACACACATATATATACACACACACATATATATATAGATATATATAAATATATAATGTTTAGTATTTGGGTATGTATGTGTGTACATACATATATGCATAAAAGAATATATGTGTACCCACAATAGAATCAAGAAATAGAATCAGTATTTTTGAAACCCTCTGGGTGTCCCTCCCTGTCTACATCTTCCTATTTGCCACACAAATTCCTGAATCATGTTTACTATTCTGTTTTGAAACAGCTTTACCACAAATATTTAATTCCCTAAAACAAAACATGTTGCATAGTTTTGCATGGTTTTGAATATTATGTAAATCAAATCATACTGTGAACATTTTCCAAAGGCTTTAAAAATTAGTATTAGATTTAAAAAATCCATCCATTTTGATGTGACTGATTGGCCATCATAGCACAGTATTCCATTGTATGAATATACAATTTGCCATTTTCCTTCTAATGAACATTACAGTTGTTTCTTCTCCTTCTTTTTTTTTTTTTTTGAAATAGAGTTTCACACTTGTCTCCCAGGCTAGAGTGCGATGGTGCAAACTCGGCTCACTGCCACCTCCGCCTCCCAGGTTCAAGTGATTCTCCTGCCTCAGCCTCCCGAGTAGCTGGGATTACAGGCACCTGCACCACGCCCAGCTAATTTTTGTATTTTTAGTTGAGATGGGGTTTCGCCATGTTGGCCAGACTTGTCTCGAACTCCTGACCTCACGGGATCCACCCGCCTCGGCCTCCCAAAGTGCTGGGATTACAGGCATGAGCCACCGTGCCCGGCCTACAGTTGTTTCTAGTTTTTCATTTTGCTATTACAAATATTGGCTTCTGTGAATATTTTTGAACATATAGTATACATTTACAAAAGATTACTTAAGTTATATCCTTAGAAGTGACATCATTGGTCATAGCGAATGCAAGTCTATATTTACTAGATGTAGCCAAATGTCATTCAAAATAGTTCCACATTTTTCCATGTCCTTCCTAACCCTTGGTTTTGTTAGCTTTTTTCGTTTTTGCCAATTTGGTAAATATAAAATAGCAATAATAATCACTTTGCTGATTAGTTAGGAATAAAAGTTTATTAGCAATATTTTTTCCTTTTTTGTGAAATACATGTTTACTTATTTTACCTATTTTTCTATTGGTGCCCCAACCAGAACTCCCTGCCTTTATCATTTTGTTGTACACTGGAACAAATCATGATTGCCTGCCCCTTTCCTTCCTGTTTGAAGGCTTTCTTCAGCTGCTAAAGCCTGGTCTCTTCATGCACCTGGTAGCCCAAGTTCCATGGAATTAATGTCCCTCTCAGAGACAGTACTCACCTAATGACAAGTAGGAATATAAATACTTCTGCTCTCTCTCCCATTGTGTTTGACAGCTCTGGTATGTGTTTTACACTGTTACCCAGAGCTCCCCAGAAAGTTAAAGTCCAATGGCCAAATACTGTAAACAGCTTGAAAAAACACCCTCAACAAGTATTTCCTGGGCTCATCTCCTAAATATACTGCTTATATTCTTTTCTAAACATTTGCTTCTGGGGAATCTAAAACAAACACATTTATATTTTTATACTGATTTATGAGAATTCTTTACACATTGTTAGTAATAAGTCCTCAATGTCATTGATAGGTTCTTGGAAACTGCAAGTTTAAGTGCAACTATGTATAACAAAACATTTTTTTTATCTTCTCTACAACATTATAATGAAATGATGTCGAAGGAAAAAATGTTATTTGAAGACTTGCTGGTATGTCCTGTAACTTAAAGTTGGAGTTTCCAACAACCTATCAATGACATTAAGTGAAGACTTACTGTATATTAATCTGATATTGATTTTTTTGCTGTAAATACATTTTTCTAGTTTGTATTTTGGAGCTGAATTGTGTGGATATGATTTCATAGAGGATGTTGCCATAAATATGCTTTTAAGAGACATAGGATTTATGAAAGTAGAAAAGAAAAAGAAGGGAGGCAAGTGAAAAATGAGGGTTTTTATGATGTAGAGGTAAGAAGACACTTGAGATGTATAATGAAGAGTAGACGAGTTCTGGAGCAAATACTTTATGTATGAGAGTATCGGGAGTTAATATTTAAGAATATCAGGAGAGGGCAGGGTTTACAGTCCTTGAATGCTCAACTCAAAGGTTTGAACTTAATCTTATAGAAATGAAAGGCTATGGTAGGTCATTACTTTTCTCTGTGTTTTACTTTGTTGTAATGCATTAGAGCTCATGTCCTGATAGTATGACAGTTGTTATGATGTTAAATACATTTGTTTACACAGATGTTAAATACATTTCCATTGGAATTTAAGTATTATCTTTGATGTCTTGTAATTCAAAACAACTAGTTACATATGACTTTTCAAAAAGATGATCAGTAAGATACATGTAAAATTAGACGACTGTTAAAACCATTAATCTAATAATTTACTTTAACAGTGTCACTACTCAGTAAAAAATGGCTTCTAAAATACAAATTTTCTATTTGTAGGGACAAATATTTTTCCTATGTATCAAAACTATCCAGGTTCTCTCAGTCTACTATTCTCCATATGTATGTAATAAATGATAATGTACTACTTCTTTGATAAAAAATATACTGCTTTTTTTGCTTCTTTTTTGGTAATGCTTATGCCCTAGAAGAATCTGGCTTATTACATAGAACATTTTGTTCAGAGTTTAAGAATTGACCACATTTTGCAGATTCCAATGACAAAATTGGACCACCAAAAATAGGTTATATGAAAACCCAGCTTGCAAGGTAAGCTAGTTTTAATCAGCCTGATTATTAAAAAAAAAAAGATGTATTGACATTTTTCTATTGAACTTTTCTTCTTAAAAATGTAGAGTTAAGAATATGATTACGTAGTATGTCTTATTTAATGACATCTATGTTTTATTTCAATTCACTTCAACACAAATTTATTGAATCGTTACTCTGCACTTAGATTCAAAATTAATGTCTTCTTTACTTTTCTCATATGATTCTGTTTATAGATTTAGTTGAATGTTTATACAATTATACTTTGCACTAGTATTGGAAATTTTCTGTTCCTGGGAAAAATTATAAATTATTTGGGGATAAGGAACTTTTAAAATCTCTTAAACTGTCCATTATTATATTTTGAAAATAACATACAATGAAAAATGGATTTGATGTTATTTGAAAAATCATATATATACAGCCAGTAAGTCTGCCAAAAAAAGATATTCAACTTTATCATTAATTTTATGGTACATTTTGTAGCTTCTAATAGAGACAAGGGCCTGACTTGTCAATATAATCACTTCCAGAAAAATGTATGAGGAACTGTAAGGAAGAAAGTATTCCATGGCAAGCGGGACACACTTGATGAAGATGACAATCTTAAGTTGCCTTTACTTTCCTCTAAAGTATTCAATGAAATCCAATATCTGACATTAAGTAAGGAGCTCTCAATAATGAAATGATTTTACTATCCTAAAGTAACTTGGTGGCTTCTCACATGTGACAGATTTATTTAAAAATTCAAAGAATATATATGTTTTATAAATTGGCAAATAATTCATTCTACTAAGTAAATGTTTTCCTTTTATTAATTGCTTAAATTAAAAGTGGTATGTACAAATACACAGTTACATAGAACAAATGAGATATGGTGTTTGATGGATCAGTAGGGTTACTCTAGTTAACGTTAATTAATTTTACATTTCAAAATAGCCAGAAGAGAATTAGAATGTTCCTAGTGTAAAGAAAAGATAAATATTTAAAATGATGGATATCCCAATTACCCTGATTTGATTATATGAATGTATCAAATGATCACATGTGCCCATCCAAAATGTACATCTATATATATCAATTAAAAAACTACAACAAAGATAGAATAACAATAGACCCAGACACCCATATAGTTTAGCAGTTGGGCACATAATATCAGCTATGTGGAAGACACATTGTAAATGCCCCGCCATGATCCTCGCCTCCTGATGTTTACGCCCTTGTATAATCTCCTTCCTTTGAGTGTTGGTAGGAGCTATGACTTGCTACTGATCAATAGAATGTGGCAAATACGATGGAATGTCTCTCCCACAACTAAATTACATTATATAACTCCATCTGGCTAAGAGACTCAAAACTGCCTTGGGGGAGAATTATATGGCAGGAAACTGCACACAGTCTCCAGGTCCCATGAGTGGTTGCCAGCTGACAGCCAGCAAAAAGTGCAGCCTGGTGAAACTCTGAAGCAGGGGACCCAGATAAGCCATTCTCAAATTTCTGACCCACAGACATGGAGAAATAAATAATATGTGTTGTTTTAAGCTGATACATTTGTGGCGATTTGTTTCAGAGCATCAGAAAATTAATAAAGATTTTTGATGATTGGAATTGGGGTTCTGCTGTAACTGATTTCTAAAAATGTGCAGTGGCTTTGAAAGCACTCAGTGGTCACAGACTGGAGAACGTTAAGAAAAACATGATAAAGCATACGTTTTCTTAAAAAGACGTTTAGAAGAAATCTAAACTTTGATGGCCCTGCTAGTGAGGGCTCAAAAGGAAGTGAATGTCAGGTTACTGGAAATTTTCTCAATCTGATAAATGGCATATATTTAAAAAACAAGTAACAGTCACACATAATGGTGAAGCTCTAAATGATTTCTCTCTAAGATTGGGAACAAGATAATGATGCCTGTTTTCACCTCTGATGCTCAACATGTAAAGGAGGTGTTAGCCAAGACCAAAAGGTAAGAAAAACAAACAAATAAATGGCATGTAGACAAAAAATGATAAAATGAGACCATCTTATTCACAGGTCACATGATATTCTACATAGAAAATTTCACAAAAATTTACACATGCAATTTAATGGAATTAGTGAATTTAGTAAGATTGAAGAAGATCAGATAAATATTAAAAATCAATTGTATTTGTACATGCTGGCAGTAAACAATTGGAATAATAAAAAATCATTCGCAATAGCACAAAAACCATAAAACACATAGAATAAAATGAACAAAATTTGTATGCTGAAATCTATAAAACATTGATAAAATTTTAAATACTGAAATAAGTATGGAGCTAAACTATACTCAGGGATGAGAATATTCAACATTTTTGAGATGTTAAGTTCTACCCAAATTGATCTACAGATTTAATGCAATCCCTATCAAAATTCCAACATGCTTGTACATTTTTGTATAAATTAGCAAGCTAATTATAAAATTCACATAGAATAGCAAAGAGCATACTAGCCCAAATGATTCTGATGAAGAACAAAGTTGAAGGACTCATATTTTCTGATTTCATGACTTACTATTATATAAAGCTACAGTAATTAAGACAGTAGGGAATTGGTGTAAGGACAAACATATAGATTAACAAAAATTGAAAATCCAGAAATAAACTCAACTACATGTGATCAATTGTTTTACAACAATGTATACAAAATCAACTTTAAATGGATCATAGACCTAACTGTAAAGCCTAAACTATAAGAGTTTCAGAAGAAGGCACAGGGGAAAATCACTATGGCTATAAATTTAGCAAAGATCTCCTAGATAAAAAAGAAGAGCAGAAACCATAAAAAATTATTAAATAGAAATTCATCAAATTTAAAACCCTCTCTTTGAAAGGTACTACTTAGAAAATAAAGAGAGCAGCCATAGAATAAGAGCAAATCTTCACTTCCAAATATCTTCTAAAGGTCCAGAATACATACATAATTCTTATAATTCAACAATAAAAAGGCAAGCCAATAAAAATGAACAAGAAATTTGAATCTTTAGCAAAGAAGCAATATAGATTATAAATAAATATATGGAAAGGTGATAATTAGACATTAGAAATATATATTAAAACCATAATGAAATACCACTTCTACTACAGTGGTTAAAATGGAAAAAAATAAAAAACTGATAGAACCAGATTCTGGCAAAGATGAGGAACAACTGAACTCTGAACAACTGAAATGATGTAATGCACAATTGAATAGCTTTGGGAAAGCAGTTTGGAAGCTTCTTATCAGGTTAAACATACACATACCATACTACTCAGAAAACTACTCCTAGGGCTTCACCCAATAGAAATGAAAATACATGCTCACATAAACACTTGTGCATAGTTTGTACTAGCTTTATTCATAATAGCCAAAAACTGGAAACAACCCAAATGCCTATCAACTGAAATATAGATACATAAATAATGTTATATCCACACAATGGAATGCTACCTGGCAATAAAGAGGAATAAAGTACTGATTATTGAAAAATTACAAATAAATTTCAAAATCATTATGTTAAGTAAAAGAAGTTAGACACAAAAGTATGATATCATTTATTTTTCATTTTGAAAAAGACAAAGCAATGGGGATAGTAATCATCAGTGGATGAACTGGGCTAAGGGAACTCTTTGAGATGATGCAATAGTCTATATCTTGACTATGGAGATGGTCACATGACCATATACATTTGTTGAAATTCATTGAACCATACACCTAAATATAATTAATTTTATTTTTTTGTGAGAGGGTCATACTCTCATGCCCAGGTTGGAGTGCAGGGGCATGATCATGGTTCGCTGCAGCCTTGTCCTCCCAGGCTAAAGTGATTCTCCCACTTTAGTCTCTCAAGTAGCTGGGACTACAGGCATCCACCACCACACCAGGCTAATTTTTTGTATATTTTGTAGAGATAGGATTTCACCATGTTGCCAGGGCCAGTTTTGAACTTATGCGATCCTCCTGCCTTGACCTCCCAAAGTGTTGGGGTCGCAGGTGTGAGCAACCATGCCTGGCCAGAGTGAATTTTATTGTATAGAAAAAACATATTTAAAAACCTGACTTTAAAATTTGATAAACAATTTATAATGACTTCTCATAATTTTTGTGAATTCCAAAACTGTTTAATGTTAATAGTGTTATGCATTTTGCTGAAATAGGTCATATTTATTTATCTTTTAAAAAGTTAAACATATGAAGGGAATTAGACATATCCAATAAACCTATGGACTTGAAATTTCTCGGAGATGTAATTTATCATCTGGCTTCCACTCCCAAAGACCTACCATGATTCCTAAATAAGATGAGCTATTAGAATTAAATAATTAGGGGGAAAAAAAAGCAATTTATTGTCAATACTGAATTGTTTTGACTCAGTTCAGGGACATGGTTATAGTCCTGGTGGGAGAAATTAGTAACATCTATTTGATTGAGATGTTGAAAAAAATTGCTTTTTTGGTCTAAGAGTTTTGGGAAAAGCTTTTTAGGGTTTTGTTTTCTCTTTTTTCCCCTCCCTATCTACTTTTCGGGAAGAAAAACTGTAATTTTTAACATAAAGGCCTCAGATTATTTTACAAACCATTCACTATAAAGATCTCCATCTAAACTTTGATCTCATTCTTTTACATTCTATTCCACTCCTCACCTTGTCTAGAGCCTCTTTCCATCATCCATAGAGAACCACTTTCACTATTCCCTCTCCTCAACTCTACTGGTAGACAATTTCCCATCAACTTCCCTTTGACAAATTTATTTATGTCTTCTTCTAAAAACACTCCATCCATTAAATATTTTTCCAATGGGCTTCAGTTTCCCCCAGTCTCCTGCACTTCATCAGACAAAATATTGAGGAATTTTTTTCAAATCCTACTGTCAGCTTTGTATAATTAAAATGCCAGTCTTACTCTGAAGCTCATTTTTTGCAGCCCAATACCACTGACTTGTTTCAACCTCTTCTAAATATTACAACTGTCAGTAACCTCTCCAGATTTTATTTCTACTTCCATTATTAAGTGACTTTAACATTCAGGTTCATGACTCCTCCAATCAATTTATTTTATTGCTTCCTGACCTACTTGATTCCACAGACTTCTGTCACTACACCATATGCTCAATTCACCAACATGGTCACTTTCTGGTTATCATTTTTCTACGGCATTTCTTAATTAACAGATCTTGGACTACAAATACCCATTTTCTGATCACAGCATCTCTATCATCCAGGCCTTCCATTTTCCTGACCTCTTAGGGTTATCTCTTTGCTCTTGCTGCGATCTCTGGTATACAAGTACTTTCTATTTCTGGTCATACTTAATTCCCTTGTACTACATGATAGGTTATTTTTATGCACTTATCCTTACCTTAAACTCTTGCACTATCTTGAACTTCTGCCAGGCCCTTTATGCTAGTTTTCCACCATGACCATTACTAATAACCGTTTTATTAGTTTCAACTCATCTATGGAGTGTTACCTGAGAGCTGTGGAAAATGGTGATAAAGTTTGCTTCAAAGTAATACCATCTTTTGCCAATTGGGTCTTCCTTGCTACTCAGCAATGTTTTTAATCATCTTTTGTCAAACTATTCTGATGAATTTTTCCCATCATTCTATTAAATGCTATGTCAATGTTACATTTCAGTTTAAATTATGATGTGCATTTCATCTATCTTGGTACATTATTATACAATGGAAACATAAAAATAAATAAAATTTAATCACTCATACTCACTTAGAAATGGGATTGACACTGGCTTCAATAATTGTTAAACACTTACAGCACTTTATGTTTTCTGGAAATTCTTGTACACCTAAAATGTGAAAAAAACAAAGTACATGAAAATGTTCCAACAAATATTCTTTAAACTACAGTTCTAATATTTAGATAATTATTAAACTATGAGTCAGTATATGGCATAAACACCATTTAGAATAACCATTGAAGTAGAAATAAAAGCTTAATAACATATCAATATTATTAATCATATATACATTATTTTTAATAAAAGTTGAATGTTAAATAATATTTTATAATAAAAGTTTAAAATTGGTTATAAGATTGAGGACAATTGTGTATTTGGCCTAAGATAAAACTTTGATCTTTAGTAACCTAAAGAAATAAAAATAGCTTAAGTTATTAAGTTATAGTGCCACTACTGAGAGAAGGGAGAACAAGTAGATATAAAGAAAACAGAAGATAAAATCTTTCTTCCAATAATCATTTTATAAGGCTAGGAAGGTTGAACATATACATGTGAAAAATACTTAAGAACACACCCAAAACTGATAGATATTCCCAAACTAATATTGGGCTCTGCTAAATTTTATACAATTCTTTTTTTGGTGCGTACAGAGTGTAGCTCTGCATCTGCCTGAAAGTGTGAAGAGACAAGCAGCTTTCCTTGGGTCCTCCCTGGAGTCTCTGAGGTAGTCAGCCTGGCTGATTGCCCTTGGAGATTTGCTCATCTGCTGTCACAGCTGTGCTACTGGCTGTGTGACAGAAAAACACAGATTTTTCTATGAAACTGAAAATGCAAAAGCTGCAAACCTAATCCATAAATGTGAGGGTTAGAGGAATAAAAGATGTGGGGGACATTTCAATCAATTGACAGAAATGGATCAATGTAGTAGGCCCTGCAAAAGTTACAAGGGAAGAAGCTATATGAAGCTGTTATGATATGATATGCCTGCAGTACTACTTTCTCTCAATTTTTGAAACTATTATTAAGGATGTAAAAATTTTCAAAAAGAACTGGCCTTTCCCAGTACTTCATATCTGACGGAAGGATAAGGAACAGTTTCTGGCAGGATATAATTGAACTTTTTGATGATAGATGCTCAAGAAACAAAAGATTCCACCTTTCTAGATTCCATTCATCTAGACCACCATGTCTGCAGGACTTCAAAGCCCTTGAAGCAGCAGGAGGGTAGTCAAATCCAGAACACGTCACTTATCCACTGCCAAATAGGGGTACAAAGAGGTACAAAGTGGGGGATTTGTGATGTTTCTCACCCCATTTCTCTCCATTTAAAATTTCATGAAATCATGTGGTCCTAAAATTATTACTGAACTATTCTGACTTCTAAATAAGAGCCTCCAAAAGTTTGGGAGCTCCATTATGTATGAATTTAATGAAAAAGCCTGTTTCTCTTGTTTTTGGAAGGCCATAACACCTAGAACTTCTTCCATTAAATAGTCACTAAAAAATGGGCAGCCAGGTCAATAATATAAGTTGTGAATCATTCTTAACATTTTCCCTTAAAAGTCTTTACTTTAAATATCTTCAACGAACAAGAGTATAAATTTCTCCTTTTCTCTGTTTAGCTTTTTCTGTTCACTCTCCAATCTGGGCTCATTGCATGCTGATATGCATGATGCCTTATCTCCACAGGTCCCTGCCTTAAAATGGTATATCCTTAAATTATGTGTAAACCAGGACATGGAAGCAGAAGTAAATTAAAATATGATTTTAAGAAAAAGATGATGTCTCTTTATCTTCTACTGAAAATGGAATTGCCTACTGTGGTGAAAATGGTGCTATATTATTTGTTTAAAAATTTGTATTATATTGTTTACAGTTTAAATTTAAAATAATTCAGAGCAGAGTCTGTCGGCTTAAGATGGAATCCTAGCTATATACTTTCTGGCTGGGTAGCCCTAGGCAAGTCCTTTAAACTCCCAATGCCTTAGTTTCCTACTCTGAAAAATAGTGATTATATGAATGGTTTTATCATAGAGTTGTAGTGAAGATTAAAAGAGATTATACAGAAAAGCAATTGGGACAAAGTGCTGTAATAATGTTATCTATAATTATTAGAAATAAAAAAGGATTGGAGAATGTAAGTCAAAAAAAGAACCAAAAACATACCAAAATGATCTGGCTTCAGGTATAAATGTGTAAAATTTATCTACCTTAGAGAACACAGGAAAAAGAATTAGTGTGCTGAAAGAATATAATATAATATATATACTGTGAATATATACATTATTAATGTGTGTGGATGTGTGTGTACACACACACACACTTTTTTTTCACACACACACACTTTTAAAATTGCTGTTCTTTGAGGACTTAAAAGTGTCAGACATTGTGCCAAGGTTACAGACATAAAAAGTGGGATGAAAAAGACTTCATGACATTTTTCTTAAATTGATGTCCTAACTCAGAAGAATGATTGAAAGAAAAACTATAGAAGAATCAAAAGATAAATGTGAAGAAGTCTTCTAGAAAATGTGGTAATATTAGGCAAAAAGACAGTAAAGATGAATTTTTAATAGCTGAGACATTTTAGTATCTGAGTAATGAAGTTGTAAGAAGGGTAAACTGAGAACACAAAGGACAGAAAATACTAAAGGAACAATTCAAGAATATTTCAGTAATTTCAAACAATGAACGAGTTTATTTCGGATTGAAAAAACTCACTCATTCAAGGAGTATTGAGGATTAAGAGGGGAGAGAAAAATCAGGTTTCACACAAAGGATCAAGATCTAGATGACATTTGACTTCTCAAAAATATTTGGAATGAGAAAATTATACAGAAATATATTCAACTTCTGAAGGAAAATGATTTTCAACTAAAATCCTATACACCACCAAACTAATATTCCAAAACTATGAAAATGAGTGTGGAATAAAGATATTTTCAAAGTGATATAAGCAAGATGGCAAAATAGGAGTTTTCTAACATCGCACAGTTTACTGATTTTGGCAACCACCTGCTGATAAGAATATTTTTGTGGGAGTTTGGAAGTCCAGCGGAGAAATTCCACCATATCATTGGAACAAAGCTTATAAAATTAGACTCACTGAAGAGAGTAAGAATAGTTTCATTTTACCCATTTCGCCCCTCCCTCAAGGTGGCACAGCTCCATGCCAGGAGAAACTCCTTCAACTCACAATTGTCCCCACAGGGGAAAGTAAAAATGTAATGAGTGAGGATTCCCCAACTGTGCAGGACATTGTCCTAGAGGCCTACTTCTTTCTTGCCCCACTTAGAATACTGAGGGCATCAACAAGGCTGAGTGGCTGGGAGAGGTTAGGGGCTGGGAGGAGAGGTAGGGACTCTCAGCAACCAAGATTCAAAACTAAACAAAGAGCTGTATATTCTATTATTCTCCAACAGAAAGTTTGCCCATGACCTGTTCGGTATGCCTCACCTGTGGACCACCATAACTGACCCATAGGTCCTCCCAACAGATTGTGTTTTTCAGCCTCCCCTCTATAACTGTAGCTAGCTCCTTTCATGTGCCTGACAGATAGTCAGTGTGAGCACTTGCAGTTGTCTGGCCAGGATACACAGCCAGCCACCTTGGCTTTGTGGGAGTGGGAGAAGGAACATAAACTTGAGCATTTCAGAGCATTGCCTAAAAAAACAAGTGAGAGACTCCCAGCACACAGTCTGGCTTTGTGGGACTGAGAAAGGGCAAACAATCTTAAGAAGTTCTGCCCAAGAGGAAACCAAATAGGTGGAGCAGGCACATCCATAGCAAAAGTCTGAGAGAGACTCAGAATCCCTGATCTGGCTGACTGGTGAAGGTGTTTCTCTCCTAAAGCAAGTCAGTAAAGACTGAAGGAGGTGACAGCTTCTTCAAATGCACAGACAACAATACAAGACTTTCAGGAATACAAACAAAACAAAACAAGGGAATATGACACCACCAAAATAACACAATTTTTTTTTTGACAGAGTCTCACTCTGTTACCCAGGCTGGATTGCACTGGAACAATCTCAGCTTACTGCAATCTCCACTTCCTAGGTTCAAGTGATTCTCCAGCCTCAACCTCCTGAGTAACCAGGATTACAGATGCCTGCCACCACACCCGGCTATTTTTTTGTATTTTTAGTAGAGATGGGGTTTCGCCATGTTGGCCAGGCTGATCTTGAACTCCTGACCTCAAGGGATTCAACCGTCTTAACCTCCCAAACTGTTGATATTACAGGCGTGAGTCACCATGGGAACACAATTTTCTAGTAACCAAACTGAAAGAAATGAAGCTCCATTAATTGCCTGACAAAAACATCAAAATTAATATTTTAAGGAAGCTGAGTAAGCAACTAGAGGGCACAGATGGACAAATCAATAAAATCAGGAAAACAATGAACAAAACAAGAAGTTAAATGAAGAGACAGAAATCACTAAAAAAATCCCAGAAATTCTGGAGCTGAAGAATATAATAAATGAAATGGAAAATGCAATATAGAATTCCACAGCAGACTTGATCAAGCAGGAAAAACGAATGTACATTGGAGACAGCTCATTTAAGATTATTCAGTCAGTCAAACTATACTACAAGGCTACAGTAACCAAAACAGCATGGTACTGGTACCAAAACAGAGA